CTGAGTAATCTGCGGAGTAATGGCTGATTAGGACGCGTGGCAGTGAAAGCCGCAAGGAAGCTGTCTCGCCGATGCCGCCTTATCTTTGCACGATAGCCAGCTGTTTGCGACGGTATGTTGTCTACACAAGGTGTAGGCGCCTTGACCCTGAATGTTTGCTTAGGGTATTAAGGCTTTCAGGTAAGTCCCCCTTCTCTCCCTCTTATTCTTTATTTCATAGGTCCTCATGGTTGTATGGTAGCGAAGCATCAGTTCAAATGGCTGATGTACTGTTGTTGTTGTCGTTGCTTAGGCGATTACAAAAAAGCACGCTTGTCTACTTGCTTTCTGCTAACCTTGCATGAACCACGTAGTCCCATAGCACAAAGGCGTCTGTTGATCGCAATCCAACCAAGGCTTCGGCTTTAGCGCCTTGAGCGATGCAATCACATTTTACCTAGATGCGGTAGACGCAGCGTCACCAGAAAGACGGAAGTGGGAGTGTGGGTGAGATATTGACGGCAGCTGGTACACTTTTGAAATCCTGAAGTGGTGTTTCACTCAACCAGCGGACATCAATTGCATAAGTCTCCAACATGCGTGCGAGCCCAGCTTGCTGTCTGATCTGCTTCATGTGCGCACGTTGATGGTTGCTAGTTTGAATCGCGTTCCAGGTTTTAGGAGCAAAGTTGGAGGACTTGGGGGCTGGCAACTCTCTGTCGAGCACTGTGTGATTTATATGATGGACATTGGGGGAACAGATCCATCACTAGTGGTATGCTTTTGCATTGTTGAAGAATCAGGTAACAATGGGGGGTAAGTAAATTGGTGGCTTGTGTTTACAGTTTTCGTAGTGACAGGATAGCGGTCCATCGTGGAAACGAGAGAAAGAGCGAGTGTAACTGTGCAACTATGGTTCGCCAGTAAGCGAAGTACTATCCGATTGCTTAGGTGGAATTTGGTCGTTTGTCTCAGGGGACCGCGGCCCCTAGACTTTGGCCAAAAGGCCTAACCCACAAGGCAGCAGGGCGAGATAAGAATTTCCCATCCGTTAGAAGCCGGTGTCTGATGACTCATACGCCTTTCGGCGGGCAAATAGCCATCCCAGGAGCTCAACACTCCCGAAATCCGTGGCAAAATTTAACTCTCAGATTGTTTGTCGGTTTACAATGCCAGAAGACAGTAGCTTTATTTAATGGCCAGTCACATCCGTTACGTCGCAGTGTTTCTAACCGAATATTTGTGGCTTTTTATAGGGAAAACTCTCATCAGGCAAAAACCTACCACGTCCTAGAACATTACAGCCAAACCATTCGCTGGAACGGGAAATTTCCGGGCCCCCAGCAGGCACCACGGGGAGGTTGTTCGTCAAGCCAGAACTGAGCAGAGGCTTAAGGCAGTCCACTCTACTAGACCCAAGTGAACAGCCGCGTACTTGCGGTTTGACTTCAAAGATACACAAGAATAAATAAAAACTGAGGACAAAGTACCGTACATTGCCGGATATAAGTCGATGATTTTTGGACAACTTTTCACTTCTGTAGTAGGGAGTCGGCTTATAAAAACGTTAGGCGCAATTTGCAAAAAAAAATCACATTCGAAATCCGCCTAAGCATTTACTGCGCACCTCTGCCGCTATCTCCCCTTAGCACCACCCGCTAGTGACAGGCGGTATTCCAGACAGGGTTTGAAGTGACTCATATTTTCTATAGTGTCCGCGCAGCATTGCGGGCAGCGTACCTATAACTATACACATTCTTTCTGTGGCAAAAATCTCAGCATGTTGCACTTTTGACGTTCGCGATGGATGACAGTCACAGAAACGTACGGGAGTGTACATAATCAAAAAACCATCACAATCAGTAACATGAGAAAAAGCATGACAGAAAAGCACCTACCAGTGGATTTTTCGGGGGTCGGCTAATATTGGGACTTATGACTGTACAAATTTGATACTGCAAACTCATATGGCCGGCCTATCCATGGACGGGCTTATAGTCGGTAATATACGGTATGTTTTTATCGTGCGTCCCCAGCGATTTCAGCTCGGAAGCTGCCAGAATCGAATTCTACCGGCCGCTCATCTTTTTCCATTTGTGATCTTAATATTCCAGTGAATCGCTTATCGAAGTCTGCACAACTCTTGGGATGCTGTTTCGAGGTCGTTGCGTGCCGCCAAAACCAAAAGTGGTCAGTATTCAGCTATGCGCTGACTAAACCTCCCCCTTAATAGCACCTTTTCCAGACACTAACTTTAAGATCACATTGTTAAGCGCTCATTGAACGCAGCAATAATCGCATTACCATCAGCTGCTAATAGCACGGGCCAACTCAACGTTGTTAGTTTACCTATGGTAAGTACTTGAATTCTGCCCATTTTTTCATGATACTGACTTGCTTATCGAACCAAATCCTAATGGTGTCAGCTGGGTGGTCCGGATTATCCCGTTCCAGCGAATGGTTGGGCAGCAGTGTTCCAGGACATGGTGCGTTTTCACCTGGCAGGCATTCGTTTTATAAAAACCACAAATGTCTGTTCAACAACTGTGAGGTAGAGGACGTGACCCCACTAAATAAAGTCGCTGCCCCTTGCGTCACTGGTGATATTCCTGCAATCTGCTGCTGCAAATGTGGGGAGGATTAGGCACTTGTTTGGTGACAATGCGTGCGATTCCCTGAATTGGCACCGGTGCCTTGTGGAGAATTTGTTTACCCAAAGGCTCGGGGTGGTGTCCCCTAAGTCAGCTCCTTACTTCGGCTTGGGTAACCGATTACCATCACGCCCACTGACAAAACTATTGTCTGTTCATTCGCTATACTTCTGCTTCCGCCACTCATACACCTACACGCACCATTTGTTACCAACCGGCTCTTGTTTCCATGATCCCACTCCCGATGGTTTCGTCGACGCACACCGAGCTCGTCCTTTGGCCACGATCCTGGTTTTGTCTGGCATACTTCAATATACGTACACTCATGCAGATCGGTCAGCAAGCTGATCTCACGCGTGCATAGGAATCCTTCGGCATCGATGTTTTCTGTAATTCTGAAACCCAACTACAAGATCCAAATACTGTGCTTTGGTTGACATTTCCAACTTACCACGGAACCAGATTTCATGCACGTCTATCTAGTGACACCGAAGCAGTCACAGCAATCCTGGCTGGTGTTGATGCAGCACTAAGTAACTAAGCTAAGGCCACACTGCTGAACTAGTTTCCGATTATTAGTCGACCGTGTATTTTGGCTTCGAGCATCATGCAGGATCAACAGACGTCGCGACAAGAGACGCAACTTGTTTCTACTCTCCGCGCATTCCCTAACTCATAGTAGTCGTGACTCGATCAAGGACGACTTTTATCATGAACATCGCTTGCACAAGTCAGTCGTCTACTACCACATGAAAGCCACCTTGGTGGTCACCATGCGCTTAATGAGAACCGCTCGGATAAGGGGCAGAAACTTCTCGTACTGTGTGAAGCCAATAGTATCTTTTTCTCGAGCATCAGCTTCAGGCATTCAAGGAGGCGTTCCGCTACTTAGCGCCCCCTCACCGACCCAAGCATGTTCTCAGGTTGATCACATTGCAATCATTTTCAGTTGGCGGCGTAGTGTGCGGGATTGCAGATCAATCTGGTCCATATTTCTTGTCTCAAACCCTGCACTTCCTTGGGAACATCTGTATAAGTTTCCGACGGCCCCCGAAAACGAAGCACTGTAAGTTTAATACACATAGACTGTCTGCCCCCTTGGTTCAGCTAATTGATCACTCTCCTCTATCCGATGCACTCGGCTACGACCTTCTTCGATAAGCTCGACGTTCATGCAGAAGACCATGATCTCTCCCGGACAGTTAATCTGCAGTGTTACTCAGCACACTATGTTGACCTGGATTCTAACGCGCTCCCTGCATTTATTTAACCGAGGTTTAGTCATATTGAAGTCCATTTTGGTGCATGACTCTACCTCTGCTTTTGTAGCCCTAATTAGCAGTCTTTTCGACCACTCGCCATTTTCATCCTTATGTTTTTCTTCGGTCGCTTTTATCTTTGTTACCTACTCTTTTGGTGACAACGAGTGAATGTATCGGAGTCCACTTCACTTCGAATATGGGATACCAATTGCCCATCCGCACTTCACTGAAACGAACGCCAGCTTGTTGCATTTTCGGCCTCAAGAACTGCCGATTTTTGCAGCAGGTGTCGCATCTTTCCCTCAGCTTTTTAGGTTTTCGTTCTCTACAGCGCCCGACTAAATTAGTCTGAAAGTACATTACTACACCACCGTCGTTTGACCCATCATTCTTACTTGAGTATCGCAGACTGACACGTCGTTACAACTCGGTATCCGCTACAGTTTGTTACTAGATCTTGCACCCAGTTTAAAGCATTTAAGGTATTTTCCTCTTACCTTGCTTCTTCCAACTTCTGCTGTCTTACACACCATTCAGGGTACTTGCTCTAGCCTTACGGAGATTCATCCCAACTTGTTACCTGTCAGCCAAGTCACATTTATACCTCCTTTGACTTTCACAGTTGGTCGGAGATTTTCTTACCTCAGTTGGCTGAACAATTTTGTGTTCTACTTGAGTGTGCAATTCCTTACAACTATTTTTCTTTCAGGTGCTTAGTGCCGTTTCCCCTTAGTTGATGATCACTAGAATTACTATCTTGCCTTCGCATGACTCAGCGTCTATTCTGTTGTCCATCGGGGCATCAACATTACGACTGTGAGCCGCTTGGACGATTCGATGTCACGCGGCCACCACCAGCCACGCGCGGACTAGAGATACTGTGAAGTCACAGTCACCTACGCGAATTCGAGCCGCGGTGATCTTTAGGTTACAAGACAGACGCCTTGATCGCTCACCGAAACTGGCTAGCGCGGGTCGTAACCAAAACACTTTTCCATGTACTTTATTCTTTTTTTTACAGCTGGTGGCACCCCGGTTCTCGTTTTTCCTTACCATGCTACCAGTAGAAAACGATCAATGTATTTTTGTACTCTGTTCTTTTTTGCAGGAAACGATTGAGCTACTAAGTGATGTCCTCGACGTGGAAGTCTTTTGCGGTTTGGTTGCCGGTCAGCCTTTGGTTGGCACTTATTGCGTGCTGACCAATCAAGGAGGTTTGGTTCACCCACGAACCACCGTGGATGATCTCAATCAGTTGAGCAGCCTCCTGCAGCTACCGCTTACCGCGGGTACAGTGAATCGAGGAAGTCCAATGGTATCCTCTGGCCTTGTGGTAAACGACTGGACCGCTTTTTGTGGGTTGGACACAACGAGCACAGAAATCCAGGTTGGTCCGTATTTTAGCATCACTCAGCTAGTTTTCCCTTTGGGTTCTTCCTAGTCCGTGAAGCTTTTTCGCATCGCAGAAGAGCGATCTACAGAACTTCCACTACCTATTCTTGTTGAACGAGGCGTCGGATTCATTGATTTCACTTCGTATCCATCCTGTGATGCCACTCGATTGTGGCTTGACCAACCGTTAAGTTCTCAATGTTGTGATATCGGCTGTGATGGAAACTTGCTTTCGGTGCCTGCTGTCATTTGACGCGCATCTTCACAATAATAATTCCATGTCGGATTCATGTGATTCTTGCGCCATAATGGATTTCATATCCCTCAACGACTCCGTTCTCATGAGCAGATTGTTATTCTAGTCCATTCCAAGAAAACTTGTTTGCCTACGTTTTCTCCAGTCTTATTTACGTTGGACCATCGCAACGAGACTGGACCTTTACTTGATGCGATGGTTTGTATACCCCTGTGACCCATTGACCTACGCTTTGTGGCACTTTCAAGTGCCTTCAGAGCCACTCATACCAGATAGGTCAGTGGTTAGGAATCAGGCTAACTCAGTCTCATAATCGCCCCGTTGCCTTGCGGGCAGGCTGTTTAGCCAAAGACTCGGGGTGGAGTCCCCTAAGACAACCCCACTTCGGCTTGGGCAACCGGGTAGTATCACGCCCACTGACAAAACCATGGGTTGTTCATCTGAAATATCGTTCTCAGCTGCTTTTGCTCCTGCTAGTCACTCACTTTTGTCCGCTACCTGTTCATTTGTTACCAATCAGTATTATCCGTTACCAAATGATTCTTGTTTCCATGATTCTATTACGGATGGTTTCGACACCTAGGGAGCTCGCCCAGTCGCACTCCCTCGGTCTTGGTCTTCGTTCCGTCTGGCATGCTTCAATGTACACACACTCATGCAGATCGGGCAGCAAGCTGCTCTTGCACGCACCCTGGAATCTCTCGCCATCGATGTTTGCTGTCTTTCCGAAACGCACTTACACGATCCCAATACTGTGAATGAGTTGATATCTCCCATTGACCACGGAGCCATATTTCACCTACATCTATCTGGTGACGCACAAGCAGCTGCGGCAGACTTGGCTGGCCTTGGTGTAGCGCTAAGTAGCAAAGCCGAGCCAGCACTGTTTGACTGCTTCCCGATTAATAACCGACTGTGTGCAGTTCGGCTTCGGGGATCATGCAAGATAAATAGATGTCGTGAGGAGAGACGCAATTTGTTTATGATCTCAGTTCCAAATGACTGCAGTTCCAATTCCGTGAATTTTATCAGCGCTTGAGCAAATCTTGCAGACTCGACATTGTGGTCCTTGCTGGGGATCTCAACGCACGGGTCGGTCGTCTGCTAACATGCGGAAGTCACCTTGGTGGTCACCATGCGCTCGATGAGAGCCGCTCAGATAATGGAGAAAGACTTCTCACCCTGTGCAAAGATAATCATCTTTTTTTCTCGAGCGCCAACTTTCGGCATTCGAGGAGACGCTCGTCTACTTGGCGACCCCCTTCTGCATCCCAATCATGGTCTCATATTGATCATATCGCAATCAGTTTCAGATGGAGGGTAGTGTAAAGAATTGCAGATCCATCTGATCCACTTATTGACTCAGACCATGCTCTAGTCTGTGCAAACATCTGCATGAGTTTCGGTGGGTCCCCGAAAATAAAGCGCTGTAAGATAGACATAAATGAATCATCTACTGTTTCGGTTCAGCAGAGTTATCAAACCTCCCTGGTTGGTGCAATTGGCTCAACCCAGCGCAAGATATTGTTGAACACTGGATGTGCACGCAGAGGACCATTATCTCTTCTAGACAGCAAGTCTGCTTTCTCAATCAGCACCCTATGAAAGCCTGGATCTCTACGCGCTCTTTGGATTTATTTGACCGCCACAGGAATATCCCAGCGGAGTCCAATCGTGATGAAGTGTGCCGTTCTGTCAGTTGGCACCTCAAACAAAGTCTACGCAGTGACCGTGAAGACTGGTGGTCCCAGTGTGTTTCGAAAATGGAGGTCGCTGCCTTCTCTGGCAGCGCTCGCAAGCTCTTCCAGTTCATTTGATCCACTGGGCACAGCAAGCATGGTGTCAGTAAGACTAAATGCGAAGCGAATTGTTGGCCGATCGCCAACTTACAGAGACACTTGAACCGATGGGCCGAACATTTTCATTCCAAGTTCAATTGGCTCTCACCGTCTACTTTTATCTCATGCGAACCCAGCTGCCCGCCCTGGGTCGTCACACTTGATCCACCCAGCGAAGCGGAAGTTTGTCTTGCGATTCGACACCTAAGACGATTCAAGACGGCCGCATCAGATGGACTTCCTCCGGAGCTGTTCAAATATGGAAGTTCAATTATCATTAGTCAGCCAACCTCATTGTTCTCCAAAATCTGGCATGAAGAGAAGCTGCCTTCCTTGGGCGAGTCAGTTATGGTTCCGGTTTTAAGAAGGTTGTTCGCACTTCGTTTACCAATCACCGGGGATTAGTCACATTTCGGTTGCTTCCAAGCTATTGGCATCCATTCTACTCCGTAAACTATCTCCCATTTGCGAATCGCAGTACCGGGAAGCACAAGCTGACTTCCGACCTGGCCGCGGATGTGTGGATCAGATATTCATACTCCGTCAAATGATGGAACACTGCCACCTTTACCAGAGACCTACCATCGTTGCATTCCTAGACATCCGTACCACATTCGACTCGGTTGATCGACCTGCACTATGGCGTTGTCTGCTTAGGAACGGTGTCCCAGTAAAGTACACTGCCAGCCTACGCGCACTGTATTTCCACATCTTTAGCAGAGTGTGGGTGTATGGCAGGCTTTCTTCGTCCTTCGCTGTCATTAGCGGTGTACGAAGGTCGGCCTGTGTCCCCGTTCCTCTTCAATTTTGTGATTGAAGACATCCTGTCGAGAACTCTAGACGGTTGCCAGTTTTGGTATACAGCCATTACCGGACAAGCGACCAACCGACTTAGCTTATGCTGACGATATCGCTTTACTTGGTGAGGACTCACAGAGCATGCAAACCATTCTAGACCGCTTGTCGATTGAGGCATCTAGGTACGGAAAATGTTTTGCCCCGTCACAGTATAAAGTGCTGCTTCAGGATTGGCACTCAACTGTTCCCGTGCCCAATATTGAAGATACACAGCTTGAACAAGCTTAAAGCTTTGTCTACCTTGGCAACTGTCTGCTGGTGGTACCATTAGAAGGGAAGTTTCTTTTCGCATCGTCAAAGCTCGGTCGGCTTTTGTCAACCTGCAGCATTTGTGGCGTCGCCGGGATATCTCCCTCTTGGTAAAGGGTCGTGTTAACAATGCCACAGTCCTGGCGGTGTTGCTATACAGAAGCGAGTCATGGCCATTTCGCATAGACGAAATGCGCCGGCTCTCTGCCTTCGATAACGGGTGCTTGAGGAGGATTACTCGTGTGTTGTGGCAGCAACATATTTGCAACAATGAAGTCAGACGTCGTGTTTCAGGGAATGCGAGTATTCCCTTCAGCAATCTGGTTTTGCTGCACCAGTTAAGATGACTCGGTCACGTCCTGCGTATGTCAGCTGAACGTTTGCCCCATCGCGCTCTGTTTGCTCGTGCAGGACCCAACTGGAAGACACCACGTAGTGGTCCGCCATCCAACTGGCGACAACAAATGAAATCGTTGACTTCACGTCTTGCCACCATTGGATCCACACGTCTGCCTGGTTGGGGACCAAAGGACGAGGAGTGCCGATGGCTGGAAACAATTCAGGATATGGCTCGTAATCGAAACCAGTGGAGGATCTGTGTATATAACTGCTTAGATTTGGATACTTAATGCTTAGCGATTAACAAGAACGACAAATTAACAAAACGGCTTGTGCAAAATAACAAAAAATGCTTCGTTGTTTTTTATATTACGGCACAATAGCTGAATTGTGTTTCGCACCTTCAGTTAATGTGCCATGATGCTGATACGGTGTTCAACCTGTCTTCTTTTAGTGATTTCCCTGCCTAATGGCTCTATGTCTATTTGATAGACTGCTGACCATACTATCACTACTATTTATTTTGGGACGCATCTCAATGCCTCATAAACTTATCTGCGGGTTCTTAGACCAACTGAATCCCACACCTGACACTGTTCAAGACACGAGCCACTCACCACTGTTGTACTGCTGTGTGCTCCCTCATGTTATTTTGAACTAACCCCCACACTTCTTTCTGGGCGCTTCTAACGCTACCCTACCGGATTTAGTTGAAGCCAGCGCGATAGTCCCTTTTCAAACTCATGTGCAGTCTGAACATCAGCTTGTTTTCTGTCACTACATTCCTGTGAAACCTAACTTGTGTGCATTTAGGAAGCACTACCACCAATTCTCCTTGTTCCGCCTCCTTTCTTCTTCCTTTTTTTCTGGATTCCGGTTGTCTCTGACTTCGCTACTTTACTAGGTCTTGCACCTGTATGATCTCTCTGTCCAAGAGCTCCACTCTACACCGAGCCTCTCAGGATCTGAATCGATGACTGCTAGCAATGCGCGCAACTATCCAGTAGCTTATACCTCTGAGACATGAGGGCGATGGCAAACTCTCATAGCTTGCAAGTTAATCTGGCTTATAGTACGACTCATTCTCTACAACCATGCAGGTTACTATCGTTGCAGTGGACAGTGACTGGCCTCCAGAGGTCATGACTTTTATTGAAAAGACCCATTAGGGCTTGTGAGCTACTGGGGCGAATTAGAAAGGTTTTCTCTAAAATCTTTTCACTCGTTACTAAGCAAAGAAGTCATTTCGGTCCACATTTGGACTGGTCTATCAGGGTACCCTGCATACTCTACACCTGTTTTCTCCGAGAACATCGAGCTACTAGGAAATTTGATTTCCCTTGCCATGCATAGCGCGTTACATTTTGATTGCCTATTATCCGAAATGTCGGTGGACCTAATCCGAGTTCAGAGAAGTCTTTGCTCTTAGTGAACTTAATACGTCTACTCGGGCTATTATACGTGGCCTATAATGGGCCAACGACTGAAATATACTCTATTGGACTCAGCGAGTTTGGATAATTGTAGACTCCAGAGGTACCAATATTTCAAGTAATTTAGAACGCATCCATCAGTTAGTCAGTTAAGGAGCTCATCAGCACTCTGATAGGAAATTAACAATGCCCTCTTGCTCTTTAAGCAAGAGTTCAGTTAGTCTCCTGATTTTGAGCCACTTATTGTTTGATTGGTGCAGTTTGAAGCATGCTAACACTGATAAGATGTTACATTTGAATGTTTTTTTCTAAACATGACCATTCTTCAGCTATTTTCGCGGTGATGGTCCAGATTTCCTCGTTCTGTCGTCATTTTGGAGATCTCGACGACGAATTCACCCACTCACTCGATAACTTATGGAAGAAGAGATTGTCTTAATCAACTAGACTGAATTGGTCCCGGTTGCGACGTTCGAGAATGCCCGTTTGAATTCTCTAGTAATCGCAGAAGCATCATGTCGACGTCGTTACTGATCAACTTACTGACATCCATTCTCTTACGTAGTTATTCCGCGAAACAAGAACCACAGATGAGAGAATAAACAGTTTATGACCAGGGGTGGACTGTGTGGGTCATATCTCCACTTTGCAACAGTTGCTGAGCAGCTGTACAAGTACCACAGATCAGAGCGCAAGAACAAGTCGCGCATCCCATACTCAAATACATCAGACACTGCGATATAGAAGCAAATGTTGGTAGCTCAGGTTGTTTAGTTGATTGGCTGATTGTTCGCTGAGCTCGGCAGGTTGACTGCCGAGCTCAGCGAACAATCAGCAGTCAACCTGCCGAGCTCAGCGAACAATCAGCCAATCAACATCAGACGCTTTTCCTACAACAGATAGCATACATCAGGATTGTTCAGCTTCACCATAGTCTTCAGCATCGAACATTCCACTGTGGAATCTCACAATGGTAACATTGACTCTCCGTCCTGGAGTGATCTGGTCTATCTGGACGAAGAAAACATTATTATCGCCTTGTTATTGCTCAATTTCACGACGCAGTCTGTCATCAATAGATTCAATAGATATCTTATGGCATGCCATGCCTTGAGAATACAAAGTACGGTTTATAGAACACTAGCTACTTCCTGATGTCGGTTCTTGTTTAATATTAATCGAAGACAATTGACTGGCCCACCTATATTAGGAGTTAATTTCCCGTGAAGACCATTTGACTGCTGAAATCATTTCAGGTACTGCAAAAATGCGAAACTTCCTCTACGAATCTTTCTTGCTTAAAACACCGGTAGGAAAATTTTCCAAATCTTGCGGGCCGTCCATACAGGACCGCAGCGATGGCCGGAAATGAAGCTTGGATCTTTGCTGTTGAAGCAAATGTTGGTAGTTGCAGAATCGACGGGTTTAGCGACATTTCTACTGTTGTGACGCTAAATTTGCCTCTGCTCTTTACGCCACAAACAGCCGGGAAAAAACGGAAGAATGAGGCCTGCCAGACCGGTGTATTAAGAATAAAACACAGTTACTTTTATAGGCACATGCCATCACCTCCGGCTCTGCCTTTCTGAGCTAATTGAGGTCACTTGAGAAATAATTCCCGGGGATGACATCAGAAACAGAAAGTAGCGAACAAGCTTGTTTTCATGGCTTCATCATCAGGCTAATACGACCACAATAAAGCAAGTTAGAATAGACACGATGGTTTAAATTGAGTCACTGAAACAGAGTAACTAATCGATAAGTCTACGTGTTTGGTCTGATTGGTCAAGTGAATTGGCGTGACTGCCATTGTTAGTCGCGTTGATCTCAGGCCAAGGCAAGGCTCAAGTGTGGACGAGCTTTTTCTGTGCACATAGGTCCGGGTTATGGATCCGAATTGCGATCGCCTCTGCTGTCGACAGCAGGCGACATCTGACTGCCCGTGTGAAACGTCCAGGGACACAGTAAATCGGTGTGAATGCGTCACGCGAATCGATTTGATGGTCGGAGTCAACTAGGTGCGACAACACTGCACTCGTTATATTCTTCCTCACGCCGCTGTAGAGCCAAGCTGGGCAATGCTCTCGAGCCCTAACGGACAGTCGCCTGGTCGTTTTCCCGATATACCTTGCTCGACACGAGCAAGAGAAATTGTACACACCAAAGGAGGTCTGCGACCGAGGTATCCTGTCTTTAAGTTGTTGGCACACGAGCGATGTTGAAGTGAAGCTTACGCGGAGATTAGCGGCAAAATACGTTCTTTCTGTTGCTAAGGAAAGTCTTCGGGTGGTCCGTTCCGCTATCGCATCACCCTTAAATGGCAACGATAAGTATACCATCCGCTTCTCCACTGAAACGGGTTTGGGCTTTTGTACTCGTGGTTCCATGTGCCTCTGGATGAATTTCTCAGGGTACCCATTGCGCTCGAGTACGTTTCGTATAAAACTCAGCTCATCTGAAAGCGTATCATCTGTACATATTCTCCTCGCTCTCTCCGTTAGGCAACGGACGAGGTTCCTTTTTGACTTATCGGAACAAAGCTAGCGAAATGGATGTACTGCCCATTCCAGGTTGCTTTTCTGTGCACCCTCCTTCGCATTGACCCATCTGATGCCCTTTTGATTTGGACATCTAAAAATGCCAACGTGTCGTTACGTTCTAGCTCGATAGTGAAAGTTATATTGCTATGTGCAGTGTTAAACTGGGCCAATAGGTCATCGACGCACATTCCATTATTCGCGATACAAAATATGTCGTCTACGTATCGACCGTAATAAACCAAGCTGTTGATGGATTCGTTCAGCTGGTTGCACTCCAATTTGCTCATGAAGACGTCCGCGAGCAACGGTCCTAATGGTGAACCCATTGCCACCCCGTCTATTTGTCGATATAGCGTTCCATTAAACTGAAACTGAATGTTTCGTGTGCACATGAGTAGCAGTTGTCTCAGCCGGTCTAGTGGGATACCAACATTGATGTTGCGCAGCAGGATGAACTCGCACAGATAATCTATGGTCTCCTCCAAGGGAACATTGGTAAAAAGAGACACCACATCTAAGGAGAACATCTGTCACCCAGCTAGCTCAATTTGTCTCACTGAGTCAAGAAAATCGAAGGTATCTTTGAGACTGTATCTAGCTATGGCTTTCCTGACTGGTTCCAACCGTTTGACGAGCCACTTGGCAGTTGAATGGTACGGTGAGTTACACATATCCAGTATCGGCCTTAGTGGTAGCCCTTCCTTGTGTACTTTGGGCAGGCCATACAATTTTGGCAGTCACGCCACTTCACTTGACCAATCATACCAAACACGTAGACTTATCGATTAGTTACTCTGTTTCAGTGACTCAATTTAAACCATCGTGTCTATTCTAACTTGCTTTATTGTGGTTGTATTAGCCTGATGATGAAGCCATGAAAACAAGCTTGTTCGCTACTTTCTGTTTCTGAGGTCACTTGGTTAGACAGATTCAAACCTGCTAGCGGTCTCCACTAGCCAGCTGTAGTCGTGTAGCAACCCGTGCCATGATGATCAACTTATTTCATCAGCTTTTTTGCGTGCCTTGCTGCTGGCCCACTTTATTTCTGGAACCCGTGGCACGGAGTTCCTTCGTTGCGGCCGTCTAAATCTACCTTTTGCAGTCAGTGAGCGAGGCACAACAGTTGTGCACCTACGAAATAGTTGACTTTCCATTCGCGAGCTATCAATACACAATGGTTTATCTTTTTCCTAACCGGTATTTTGTGGTACATGAACACTAAGTACCTTCTCTAATTTCTACAGCCAGTTTTTTCTACATACGTTGCGTATTGTTCCGCCCTCTCATCTTTTCCTCCCATCTTTCCACTAGGTGATTGAATCCATATTCAAGCTGGCAGGCGATTTGGACGTACCGGCGACTTCCACGATGCGCGACACATTGGTCGAAAGGTGAGCGTTGTGGACCCCCTATTCGGAGTAGTGTACAACCTACTGTGCTTCACTACTAACAACCGGGCGATCTTAAACTAAGTATCACTTTAATCTTTATAGATTATTATTTCATGCATATACAAAGTGTTACTTGGGCTGCGACCCCTTCGATTACTTTCTTTCGACGCTTGATGTCTCGGATATTTCTCAAAATAATCAGTATCACCACAATTTCATTTACACATGATCTGTTAATTTTTTAAACAATCATTTTCCTGGTTCTCTGTTACTTATTCTTGGATTTATCTACTTATATGAACGAATAATGGGTCTACTATTTGCTCACAAACTTTGTTGTGTAAAGGTTTAAATGATTTTCGAATCCTTGTTTGTTATTAACTATTTTCAACGGGTTGCCCTCTGCTTCACACTGAAGGAGCATAACTAAAAAGTGCGATAGATCATTTACACGCAGTACAATATATGGCCCCTTTGACCTTGACGTAGCAGCTCTACCACTCTACAAATTTCATAGATTGATTAAATCTTAGTGTAACAGCCTTGTTCGTGTTCCTCTGACTGGCCATAGGGTCACTGACCACTCGCTACTGGTCACAGAGGTGAGTACTTAACGGAGGACGGATGAACAACCTCGATGTGAAGGCGTATACGCCACACGGCTGTCAACGGCCTTCGTAGTTTGCGGCGAGTTCGGTAGTCCAGAGCATCCTGGCCTCCTTGCTGCTTCACTGGGGCTCTTATGGCGCCCTGAGTAGTTTGCCTCCACTCGAAAGCCGTTTTATCTTCACCTAGATAGCCGACTCCCAAAGGTTCGCGTTATACGTCAATCGCCCCGCCACCTTGCGTGTTATGGTCTTCATGACCCAAGACTCCGGGTGGGGTCCCCTAAGTCAACCCTCTTCCTCGATCTGGGAAACCTGGAAGCACCACACCCACACAACCTATGGATCTATGTCCAATGTCCCATTTGTTCAACCCTCCTTCTTAGCTTTCCCCCTCCGTTTTCCAGTTCACAACACCGTGCCGCCTTGGGCGAACGTTCTTGCCATACGGATCAGGAGCCTAGGTCCGAGGGTGCCTCAAGTCGTGTTGGCAAGGCATTTCTAGCCCTACGTTCCCTATTCAAGCTGGCAACCTTCAATATTCGGGCGCTGATGCAGATTGGATCACAGACAGCCCTTGCTCGCACTCTAACAACTACGGCCTTTGATGCCTGCTGTTTCAGCGAGACCCGTTTACTGGACTCGAGCACGACGCTACGATTAGTTTCACCGTCTGCGAATTCCACTGGACTCTTCACTTTGCGCCTATCTAGAGACTCAATTGCCTAGGGCGCTGGTTATGCTGGCGTGGGGATTGCTTTGAGCACACCTGCTGAGGCCGCGCTACTAGACTGGATCTCTGTCAACAGTCAACTACGCACGATCCGACTTGAATCCTCAGTGCGACTGTCCAGACGCTAAGCCATCAGATGCTGTCTGTTCATTGTCGCAGCGTACCCTCCAACAGACTGTAGCCCGGAGTCAGTTAAGGACGAGTTCTATGGTCAAATGACCGATCTCCGTAAAATACACCGTACTGATTTGGTGCTCGTCGGGGACTTGAACGTTTAGGTCGGTAGACTTAAGTTGAGGAACGTGAACTCGGTGGTCAACACGACCATGGCACTCACAGAACAGACAGTGGTGATCGTCTACTTCAGCTTTGCACTGATTACAGCCTCTTTCTGCCGAGCACCAGCTTTCGGTCATCCTGGCGCCAACGCACCACCTGGAGACTCCCAACACCTGGCCAGCCGTGGACTCAAATTTACCACATTGCCATTAGCTATCGCTGGTGGGACTGCATACAGGATTGCAAATCAATCTGGAGTACCTGTCTTACTTTGGATCACGCGTTGGTGTGTGCTGAAGTCCCTCTCCGCTTCGGTATCTCCCATCAGCATCGCCAGAAACGGCTTGACATAGCTAAGTTTTCTGCCCCGAAAGTTCTCCACGCATTTCAGGATGCCTTGACCTCAAGACTGAAGACTGCCTCATGCACAGACATTGAAACACACTGGACACACGTCCGCGTCGCAATGTACAACTCTGCCATCTTGGTCTGTGGCTTCACCAGTAGTCCTGTCAACCGCTGGATCTCTGCACGATCCTCCAACTCGAGGCTCATCGAACAATTGCTGCTAGCGTTAACTATCATTCACTACGCAAGACTACTAATGCTGGGCTCAAATGGCTTCTCCTGGAAGATCGCAAGGCCTGATGGACGCAGCGCGTCATTGGGATAGATCAAGCGGCCACGTCGGGGAACTTCCGTAAGCTTTTCCTCCTGATCCGGTCTACTGGCGACAAAGACCGACTGGAAGCAAAATTTTATGCTAAGTCAATGACGAGCCAATCCACTGTCAAAAACGCCGACTCGAACGTTGGGCCAAGCATTCTGAGTGGCAGTTTAATTGACCAGCGGCACCGATGACCTCCCATTCTGTAGTGCAGAGCGCTCCCTGGTGTGTAGATGCTTCACCACCATCTTAGTCTGAGGTCGTCCAGAAGCTTCGCCTCTTAAAGCGTTACAAATTCTCTGACCCAGATGAACTCCCTCCGGCTCTTTTCGAAGATGGAGGCCCATCACTTTTTCAGGAGTTAACATCTCCAAGAAATCTGGGTCACTGAAGTTATCCCATCTGATTGGAGCTTAGTAGATATCCTGCTCGTCTGCAAAAATGGTATCCGAACTGACTGCGCCAACTACAGAGGGATTAATCTCATCTGTGTTGCTTCTAAGGTGCTCGCAGCTCTGCTTTTAAGGAGGCTCAACCTCGTTCGCGGACAGAGCACACGTAAAGAGTAAGCTGGGTTCCACTCAGGTCGTAGTTACATCGATCACATTTTTACACTCCGCCGACTACTCGAGCGTCCCCCAACATTTGGCCGGTCAACAATCGTTGTCTTAGAAATACGAGCCGCGCTTGACTCAGTTGACAGAACTGCTCCTTGGAATTGTCTACTGAGCAGCGGAGTGCCCGAGAAGTATGTCACCTTACTTCAAGCCATCCTCTCTCAAACCATGGGCCGTGTGCGGGTGTGCGGCGGACTTTCGCCCTCCTTCGGTATCACCAGTGGCGTGAGACAGGGTTGTCCAGCATCCCCCTTCTTGTTCATTTTCGCTATGGAGGAAATCCTGGAGAGTGCTCTGAAGAACTGCGAACCCAGCAATGTCTAGATGCTTCCGAGGGACCGAATTCGATGGTTTGAGTAGGCAGACGATATCACCGTGATTTCCTATTCCTCACAGACCGCCCAAAATGTTCTGTGTACGTTGGAGGTGTCTGTCTCCCAGTTTGGAATAACCTTCGCACCATCGAGGTACAAAATCCTTCTGAAGGACTGGCTGGGCACTGCTCCTATCCTTACCCTTTCAGGTCATTCATTGGAAGTGGTAGACAAGTCCGTTCACCTCGGATGCTGCCTCAACGCTAATGGTTTAGCAAATGACGTCTCTTTGCTCGTCTCCAAGGCTCGGTCTGCTTTTGTCAATCTCTGCCATCACTGACGTCGAGGCGATCTGAGTCTGTCTCTGAAGCGTCGAGTTTACAATACCACAGTGAGAGCGGTTCTGCTCTATGCATGTGAGACCGTCTGTTCGCGCAAAGGATATTGTGAGGCTGTCTTATTTCGATCACCACTGCCTTCGAAGCATTGCTGGTGCATGCTGGCAACATCACAATGATGTTCGACGGAAGGTTTTCAGGTCAGACAGACTTTGCCGACCACTGAGCAGCATAATTTCTCTGCGCTGACTTCAGTGGCTTGGACATGTTCTTCGTATGCCTACTCATCTTTTACGTCGCCACGCCCGTTTCACGCGCGCAGTAGTCGGCTGGAAGCTAAAACAAGCTGGCCAACTTATGATTTGGGCCAGGAGCATGAAGGAGCCAACTTCAAAGTTAGCCGTGATTGGGCGCTATCGGCTCCCTGGCTGAGGTGTGAAGGATCAGGAACACGCATGGCTAGGAACACTTTCGGATATGGCAAGAAACCGTGCACATTGGCGAATCTGTTGTGACTCTGTTCTCATTAATGATTTCTATTTTCCTTCGTTTGTTTATTGTATTTCCCATACGTTGTCGCACTGTACCAATTGCACTATTGGCCGTGTTGAATATATATATATATATATATATATATATATATATATATATCCTCTGACATTGTTGGACTTTCACACGTGAAGCTGCTCTACCGACTGACTGCTTACACCCACCTTTGGCGTCTAGCTGGTGTGTTGCTGGTTGAGGTGGTCTATCCCAATTTTACTCTATTTAGCTAAATAAGTCAAGTGTTATCCATGCACTGATATGAGATAAATCTACTAATAATATTATAATTAACTTTAAAAACAGCAGAAACTGAATTCGTTAGATACAATAGTAAATAGTTAGAAATGAGGAACGTTGTGCAAAACCACCACTTATTTCCTGACACTTGCATTGCTGACATGGCATCCAGCGGCTGTTGCGGGCCATTAATATGACTTAATCCAGGAAGACGACACGAACAAACCATCTTGTCGGCCAATCACGTCTTGATTTGACCCAACCAGCCTCCGCTTTGGTAAAAGATGTATGCAATGACAGCCGACTTGTAAGATTGCGGAGCATATGTTCGAGCTAGTTAGGTCGAGTGCAGCTTGATTGCGCGCTCGCTGAAGAATATTTCCATATACAGAAGGTTATCCAGAGGTTTTGTTTTTGATTTTTGACACCTAAGTTTTATACACGTCCTCCAGATATCCGCTGATTTTTCACATCTTTCATGGACTACTGGTTTACTCTGCTCGATCGAGTTTGAAATTTCACTTTCCCTTACCGTAATTTTGTTCTACTTTGATTACCAAACCGACTTGTTGACCCAGTGAACGTTGTCCGTATGCTGCACAACCTTTGCTTGTCTATCATTGTGCCGTTTTGTTTGTTCCATATTTCGTTACCTGCACGT